ACCTTGCATGACGCTCTTCTCCCGGAACGTGCTGGCGGCTCCACTTTAGGTTTTAATCCCCAATGTTCAGTTGGGCCATACTTTCAAACAAAGAGCAGTCTCTTAGTCAAATTATAGTTAAATTAAAAATCCCTCAAAAATCGCTATAGGCAAAAAACATAAGTATTTCTAGAAGATTTTAATTTCTTGTGAAATTTGGGAAAATTCTGGGATGTGATAATCGTCAGTTTTGTTGATGTGGGTCATGTTAAAGATGTGCTAGTTTTGGCAGGTTTTCTTATTATCCAGTCAAATCTTCTTCCGCTTGTGTGGTAACTTGTCTTAATATATGTGCAGAAATAATCAACCTAATTTTTGGAGTTTGAGTTGATATGGAAGTGCAATATAATGTTTATGCTACTCCTCTGTTTCATAATTCTTGACGTAGTTTTATTTTAAATTATGACAAGAATTGTGGAACGGAGGGAGTATAATTTTTGCCGAGCTAAAACCACTAACAGTGGGAGAAAAACTATTCGGGGAACGGAGAATGTAGTGTAGAGACCGAGCTCCTCCACCCTAGTAGGGTTCTAGCTTCGTCTTCCTAAAGTCGGGCACGAGTCTTTTATCTAAAGAAGTGCCAAAAAAATTTACCTTGAGAATTGAGATGAGTATTGCATTGTCCTTTTGCAAAAAAAAAAATCAGTTTAATCGTACCCTATGAATAATTTGACGGTGGACATTTGATATTCACTCATGCCAATTGTTCAAAAATTCATAAAGAATCTAAAAATAGTGCTTCAAGCTGTTGTCACTGCCCAGAATTTCAACTTTTAGTTTGAGATCAACACGTTTAAAGACTCATGGACCCGGAGTAGAATAACAACATGATCTTCATTAGAGCAAGCACCTGCATTGATAACGGAAGGGACAAAGATACACACATCCATCGGATCTACAGTAGTTTACAACTCCTCTTGCTGAACTTTGGAAAACAAAGGGGGGACTCATGAATCAAAGTCATAGAGATAATCGAGGCGCCCATCGACGTCATCGGCCGCGTCCACGTAGTACATCTTGATCTCGCTGTGCTTGAACTTGCGGCTCCCCTTGCACGCCGATCTCCCCCCAGAACGCGCCGCTGCCGGCGGCGGGCGAGGAGCTTGCACTTCCTCGGGTGCGAAGGCGTCGTACCTCCATCCATACGGCGCGGCCTCGAATCTGAACGGTGACTGGCACGTCGTTGTGTAGTAGTACCCAGAATGCCGGTCGCCCAGTGGCGGATGGAGTTGCGGCTCCTCGTCTTGAACGAGTGCGTCTCGGGGAAGGGCGCGGAGGCCGCCAGACTTGGACTGGTTGGTCGGCTTCCGCGGCGCCCGGATGAAGCCGCCGTTGGCCACCACCGGGCCGTCCACGACGTGCACGGCGCGGCGCTTGCCCTCCGGGTCCACCACGGCGCGGTCGTACACACGCACCCACCCTCGCTGCCGTCCCTCGCGCCGCATCGTCGCTCGTTTCCTTGGTTCGCTTCGTGGATTCCGTGCGTGGAGATCGGGTCTGCCGGTGGCCTATTTATACATACAGCACGGCTGGCTTCGGGCTTCCCTTCCTTGACGGCCACGGGTTCGTGCAAGTCGGTTCGTATCGTGATCGGGAACTTGGCGTCCAAGCTTGTTGATTATTCTTCGGAGCAAACCATTGGGTTGACGCGTTGAACTAGCGGGCCGATCACAGTTCGCTATCGTTGGTTGATTGGTTGGGCTACGCTGGACAGGGCTGTTGAGGCCTTATCTTTTCATCGAAACATGCGTTCAGGCCTGTGAGAAGGAAAATCCTGTCTGCCGCATTCTGCGGCAGATTGCCGTTGATTCGGGTTTTTCCTATTTGCCGCTCTTTGCGGCAAACTGCTGCAGCGACGCACACGGAGACAGCAACGACCGTTCGGGATGGGCCAGCCCGTTAAACTTATCAGCCATTTCTAGCTGGCTCCCAGCCGGTTTTCTCTGGTTTTGGGAACCTTCTAGGAGGTTCCTGAACCGTTTTTTTTTTGCCTTTTTCTGTTTCTTTTTCTTTCTTTTTCATTTTTTGTTTTTATTTTTCCTGTTCTCAAGTTTATTTTCGTTTTTCCGAATTTTTTTTTGTGTTGCTCATAAATTGTTCAAAACTTCACGGAATGTTCCTGTTTCAAATTTTGTTCCTAATTTTTTTAAAAATATTCACACTTTCAAAATACTTTCCCGAAGTTCAAAATATGTTTTTTGAAATTTTTGTTCACAAATTTAAAAATTGTTCTTGATTTTAATTTTTTGTTCGCCTAGTTGATTTTTTATTTCTCTTTTTTATTTTCTTTGTTTCTTTTGTAATTCTTAATCTACTCATTTTTTCTTTTGATTCTTATTTTCAAGCATTCCAAAATATGTACGAAATTTCAAAAATTGTTCTGGAGTTTAATAATTGTTCCTTTTTTATTGTATTTAGAAGTTCCAAAAACATAGTGATTTTTACAACGTGTGCACATATTTTAAAAAAAATTTCAGCTTTAAAAATATTCATAAATTCAAAAAATGTTCCTATTTCAAAAAATGTTCCTAAATTTAAGAAAGTGTTCTCCTTTCAAAATATGTTCATAACTTCAAAAAATGTTCTGCTTTTCAATTTTCGTTCACAAATTCCATTAATGATGATAATGTTCACTTTTTCTAGATTTTGTTCAGAGTTTCAATTTTTGTTCACAGATGCAAAAAATGTTTCCTTTTGTCCAAAATGTTCTTGTTTGGAAATTGTCTAATTTTCCAACCTTTGTAATTTTAAAATTTTCTAATTTTCTGACCTATTTTAAATTTGTTCGCAAATTCAAAAATTGTTCGCTTTTGTCAAAAAATTGGAATTGAAAAAATGTTCCCGCTTTCCAAAATTTGTTCAAAAATTCACAAATTCTTTGCGTTATAAATTTTTGTTACAAATCTAGAAATTTTACATTTTTTGAATACTTGTTCGTGTTTTTTGAAAATTGTTCAGATTTCTTTTAAAAGTATTCAGATTTTTATGTAAATGTTCGAAAAAATGGAAAATATTTTGATATGTCGGTATTTTTAGTACTAATAGGTTTCGTGTTGAATGTTTGACAGTAGGTCTGATCAGCTCTGGTGGTTAGGTGTTGTATTTACAAGCGCCAGGTTGGGAGTTCGAATCCTGGTTGAGTGAGCTCTTTTTGTTGTATTTTTTCACCGCTGGCTGTTCCGCCGGGGCCGGCCCAGACGAAAACCGCCCCTATGCAAAGCCTCGCCAATCTGCCGCAAAATGCGGCAGATAGGAGTTCCCGTTGATTCGCACAGAGCGATCGACCAGCGATCGTCATGGGCCGGCCCAATAATCAGTAAAGAACGCGCTACAGTATCGGCCGGTTTTGGTAACTTTCTAGGAGATTCCAGTCGGGCTTTACTGGTTTTAGGAACCTTCTAGAACATAAGGGAAGTTTTTCTAACGGTTTCTAACTGTTTCATTTTCGTTTTTTATTTCTTTCTTTCGTTTCCTCTTTTCTTTCCTTTTTTACTTTCGTTTTTATCTCTGTTTTTCAACAAATCTTCAGATATCTAAAAAATGTTCGCATTTTAAAAAAATTACTCGTTTTTCTAAAATATTCCTGTTTTGAAATTTGGTTTACATATTTAGAGAAAATCTAGAATTTAAAGGAATCTCAACTTTGCAACAAACGTTCCAAAATTCAAAACAAAGTTTAGAATTTTAAATTTAAAAAATGGTCGCATTTTCATTTTTTGTGCACAAATTCAAAAAAGGTGTGGGATTTACAATAGATGTTCCCATTTTCAAAAAAAAAATCACCAATTCAAAAAATGTTCATGTTTTCAATTTTTTTTCGCAAAATCAGAAAAATGTTCTGGTGATCTCAATATTGTTCGCCTTGGAATTTTTGTTCAAAAATTTGAAATATGTTCTGGAATTTTACTTTGCAAATACGTTCACAAATAAATAATTCATGTATTCAAAATGTGTTTAGGAATTCAAAAAATGTTCAGGGTTCCAGAAAGTGTTTGCATTTTGAAAAATTTGTTCGTAATTTAAGAAAATGTTTGCATTATTCATTTTTGTTCTTGTTTGTCAAAAAATGTTTGCATTTTCAAAAAATTGTTCGTTATTTGAAAAACTTTGTATTATTAATTTTTGTTCTTTTGTGTCAAATTTTTTATGTTTTCAAAAAATTATTCTTAATCTAAAAAAATGTTCTATCCTTAGAAATTTGTTCGTTTTTCAGAAAATCTTTGGGTTTCAAAAAATGTTCCCCTTTTTAAAAATTGTTCAGAAAGTAGAAAATGTTCATTTTCAAAAATTATTTACTTTTTTCGAAATGAAATCATATTTAATGTGTTTGCGTCTTATAGTTCATACACACTTGTCTGCCATTTTGGACACCTAATCTCGGTAATGTAGGTGGCTCTAGGGCCTTTGTTTGATCCCTCACACATACTTTTGTTTATTCGAATTTGTGCTATTGGGTGTTTAGGAATTGCCTCTGCCTTTTCTTTCTTGATGAACAGTGGCGCTGCCAATCAAACACAAGAATTTATTTGTCGCAGTGGCTAGCTCGATGAGCAACCTGATTTGAGATCGCGTGTTCGAATCCCAATGCCGATGCGCTCCTTTTTCAACTATGTTGTTACTTTTTGAAATCTCTAGAAAGACAAATATTTTGGAACGGAGGGACTACATACATAGAGAAGGGGCAGAGTGAAAGGAAATGGGACCGGCAGTAGGGATTGGGTGGGCCAGAGGTGTCGGAGTTGTACGTTTCGGGTGTCTGTACTCCCGCAAATATCCCACACTTTTGCCTTCAATTTGTAAGAGAAATCGCATCCGAATTGCCCGGCGGACCAATACAAGTCGGTGTTGGATGGCTTTCCGCGGTCCGGATGGTTGCGGGCCCGCCTCGCAGATGCCCTAAACTTGCATCATATCCATGTGACCTCAGATTGCAATGTAGTGATTGATGGCATCAAGTAGGGAAGTGGCACTAGTAGAAAAGGGGGCAATGGTCCAGGCCAGGTCAGCCCATTAGTCCCGGTTCAGTCCAGAACCGGGACCAATGGTGGCATTGGACCCGGTTCGTGAGCCCCGGGGGCCGGTCGGGCCACGTGGGCCATTGGTCCCGGTTCGTCTGGACCTTTTGGTCCCGGTTGGTGGGACGAACCGGGACCAATGGGCCTCGCTCCTGGCCCACCATCATTGGTCCCGGTCGGTGGCTTGAACCGGGACCAAAGGCAACCCTTTAGTCCCGGTTCATGCCACTAACCGGGACCAATGAGGTGCCTATATATACCCCCTCGCGTAAGAGCAGAGCACACTGCTCCGTTTTTTCTGGCAGCCGAGGGGGAGAGGGCTTGGTGGTGCTCTAGCTCACCTCCTATGCACACAAGGTGTTTGATGGAATGCCCGAGCCACACTACTTAAGCTTTCTCCTCTCCAAGCTCGACCTCCAAGCTCCATTTTCCTCAATATTTGTCTAGGTTTAGCGGTCCGTCACGCCCCATCCCCATCTTCACCGCCGTCGATCACCCGCGCCGATCTCATCACCGGCACCAACGTGGTGAGCCTCTTGTTCTTATCTTCTTTCTGAAAGGAAAAACATTCTTACTTGTATGTTTAGATAGATACTTGTATTATTTTCTTACTTTTATTATTGCATCTTATATAGTGCGATGGTTTTGGTATCCGCCCCCGTCGGCCCTCGTTCTGTCTATGATTCGGATGTGGTATATATTATATTTTCATAACTATTGGTTCATTTATTGTTTATGAAAATTATGCCGACCAACGTGACATATATTTTATTTATCTAGGAGGTTGTTGAACCGGAAATTCCAACCGACCCTATTGTCGAGAGGTTAAATTTAGTTGAAGAAGAAAACAATTTCTTGAAGGAAAAAATAAGAAAAATTGAGGAGGAGAAGATGATATTGGAGTTGCATGTTGCGGATGTCGTCGATGATCACAAGATCAAGATGGATGCAATGCGCTTGAAGATTAGAAAGATTAGAAAATATGCCATTCATACTGAGGCTTGGTATCATTATGCCGTTGGATCAGTTGTTACCTTGGTTGCGATTATGATCGCATTTGTTTTCGTACTGAAATGTTTTACATAGTTTCAATGTATGGTTTAATTAATTTAGATGCTCTACAGAACTTTATGTTGTTCTGTAATGATTTTCGCTTGAAGATGAGAACTATGTATGTACTTTGGTTTTAATGTGATGATGAACTTCTATTAATTTGGTCACTTAATTATCTATTAATGATGTTTTGTAATGATTTTTGACACACTTAATTATATATAATGAATGCAGATGAACCGGCAATGGATGTACGGTAATAGACACACCTCCGAGTATATTAAGGGCGTGCATGATTTTCTCGAAGTGGCTGAGGAAAACAAGCAGAATGGTTTTATGTGTTGTCCATGCCCTATATGTGGGAATACGAAGTCTTA